GAAATTAACACACCAGGCTCATGATGATGAAAATATTTCTTGTCAAACTTCTGTTACAATTTTTGAGCAAATCAAATACAAGTTTTTATTAGCAGATTTTAAAGAAATACATATTTGGTCAAAGATAATTTTAGTTAAACTCTTACTGGTTTAACTGGTTCCAGTATGTTTGACTTGTTTCCCAGCTGTTCAGCAGGTCTTCATTCAAATCAGGGAAACATTTAAAAATCACTGCTTTCAAAACATTTTTATTATACTTTAATATTAAAGTGAYAGTACTTTAACTATATATTTTTAAGTATTCGTTTCCCTGATATGCTTAATTTTAAAAATACTGATCAAATATTTACTCAAATTTCAAACACGTTTTTATTTTGTAACTTCTTTTTTTTACTGTGTGCAGCGAGAAAATGAGTTACAGCTCATGTTTTATAGCAGAAAATACATCTAACATTTTAAAATCGTGTAAAGGGGAAATGACCCGGCTTGCCTGGTACCGTTCGGTCGGTCCAGTAGAAGATAAGTCTGGGCAGCAGCGGTTTTGTGGGTCTGAACAGTCAGAACATGTTGTCAACACACGGACCAAGATTTGCCCGGACTTGTCCAGCAGCTCCCCTCCCTCCGGGTCAGAACCGAACAGAACATTCAGCTACAACCTCACAAACACAGGATGCTGGAAAAACACTGAGCTTCCCAACAACTCACGACTGAATAAAATAAACACACATAAAGCTAAAGTTTATGCTAATGCTAACCCCTAACTGCGGCTTGTTCTTAATTTTTTTAAATAAGCGTTAAAACATGCTTTTAGTTTCATTCTTTTTATATTAAAAATAATAAACAACTCTTTTTTTATTTTAGACAAAAAGGCAGGCATCAAATCACGTCTAACGTCACCAAAAAGGGGTGCGTAGCAGCTCAACGATTTCCGGCGATGTTAGCCAGGAAACTCCGAGGCTTTGCGGCCTGCGCCCGCTAGCACGCTGCTAATTCGCGTTTCTGCTTTGGTTACAAAACTGCACGTTGCTTAAACTTGATAATTGTTTACTTACCTTTGTTAGTGCCTCCAATAATAACGAAAATTGCAGTTAAGTCGTTAGGTTTTCATACAATTCAAATAAAATCCTGACAATGTTTACAGTTCCTTCTTACGTAGCGAGTTAGCGCCTCCTTCCGGCCGGAAATGCTCATTAAAAGAAGGAGAGGCGGGAAAGTTGAGGGTGAATGGATGGAAGTTAAAACAGCAGTTGTACACAGTACCTCAAAGTGATACTTAAGTTAAAGTACAAATATCTTACTATAAATTTACTTTGGTAAAAGTTCAAGTCTCCTCAAAGAATATTAATTGAGTAAAAGTCTTAAAGTATCTAATATATTTTGTACTTGAGTATCAAAAGTAAATTTCTGACATAAAATGTACTTAAGTAGTTAAAAGTACTGAGTAAAAATGAGTGGCTAGACTTCCCAAAATGACATTTATTGGGAGTTGATACCCTCAAAAAACGTTTTTCTAAAGGCCAAAATGGCTAGATTGTAAAGTCCAGTAGTTTTCCAGATTTTATATTTAAATGAAATTCAGGTATGTACTCAATGTAAACAAAAGATCTTTGTCTGCATATTTTAAATCAAATCCTAGYATAAGTACGTACAAACACAGCAAAGACTTCTCCATCCAGAGCAGCTCTTCAGTGAACAAATTTTTATTTAGCAAAAAGGCACAAACAAACTAATAATTACAATACTGTGTGTGTGTGTGTGTGTGTGTGTGTGTTATGGCTGCAGTTCGTAGCCCAGTGGGTCGAGTCCTCGGTCCAAAAGAGCCAGAGACGACTCCCGCAGCTTCTGAAGCAGCCTCCTCATCTCCTCTTTAGAGAAAACCTGCAAAAWAAAAAAACACGTTTCGCTTTTCACATATTTGACATTTCTGAGCAGATCTGACGCCTCGACTCAAGTTCTGTCACCTTGTAGAGGCGGTGCTGATCCGATGAGATGATGTCGGCGAGACGCAGCGCCTCCTGGTGTCTGGAGGAGCTCTGCAGGACACTGAGCAACAAGAAGGTGAGGCGTGGGAGACACAGGGAGCGCAACGCTGCCATCTGGTGGCTGCGCTCTGTGTCTGCGTCCGACTCCTGCAAAAATAAATAAATAAAAATACAAAACTAAGATTTTTACATCAACTCACTCCTAAAACAAGTGTTTTCTCAAAGAAGGCTTTAATAAATTAATATATTTAAAGGGATCCAGGGTTAGTTGTAACATTAGACTTTATTTGATAAACATTTATTTTAACTGTAAAATAAAAACTGTAAAAATACTGTAGGATGTTCAGTCTTTATCATTTTTAAACTAAAAGTTTAAAAATATATTACACGGACGGRGCCATTTTATTTACACACAAAGCATTCTGGGTAAATGATGACATCAACTAGGTCATCGGTGCGAGGCTGCTAGCGAGCTATATCCACCCTGAAGGTTAATGTTGGACAATATCTGATGATCGACTCTTTTAAATGAAACCAGAGAGCGTTGACAGAGAGGAGAAGGTAGAAATGACTCAGCCTGGAACTGAAAATATGGATGGAGGACAACAGAGCTGCTTCATGGAAGAAGAACCTCAGCTTAGCCTGTTAGCTTGAGCGTTAGCCCCAACGCTGTGACCATATATATGTATTAGCTCAGCGCTACACATTCTCCTCTCGTCACTGAAGTCCTCCATCCACATGACAGAGAGGGGAACACAAAAATGACTCAGCCTAGAACTGAAAATATGGATGAAGGACCTCAGTTTAGCTTGTCTCATTAGCACCGAGCTAATACATATAAGGCAATATAGCGTCGGCGCTAACGAGAATGCTAACAGGCTAATCTGAGGTTGTTCTTCCATGAAGCAGCTCTGTTGTCCTCCATCCATATTTTCAGTTCCAGGCTGAGTCATTTCTACCTTCTCCTCTCTGTCAACGCTCTCTGGTTTCATTTAAAAGAGTCGATCATCAGATATTGTCCAAGATTAACCTTCAGGGTGGATATAGCTCGCTAGCAGCCTCGCACCGAGGACCTATCCACGTCATCATTTACCCAGAATGCTTTTAAAAATGATAAAACCTGAACATCCCACAGTATGTTTACAGTCTTTATTTTACAGTTAAAACAAATGTTTATTAAATAAAGTCTAATGTTGCAACTAATCTTGGATCTCTTTAAAAATGAGGGTCACCTCTCTGTTGTCGACCATCCATCCTCCGTCCACAAACAGCAGCACGTTGTAGATCCTTTCCTTCACGTCTTCAGTCAGAACGTCGAGTCGACACGACCAGGCGCTCAGGGCGGTCTGGAACACAAAACCCAGTGAGGTTCTGTTGATCAGAACCAGGACCCCTCTGTGGYGTTTGTTTCTACCTGGTACTCCTTCTCTCTCATCTCGTTGGCCACCTGCTCCGTGAACTTGGCCTCGGGGGCCGGTATTGGTTTTTGTGGTGCAGAGCCGCTGTGGCTGAACCAGTCGGTGAACGCCTCGTGAGCTTCCTGCAACGAACAGATTCACGTCGGTTATTAATCACCCCCCGACCAGAGCGCGTCCCTAACCCACCGCCCGAGTCGCTAACGAACCAGGTAGGCTCTGATGCACAGGTGCTCCCTGATGGCGTTCTCATCCTCGGCGGGGAGGGGCGCGGTCTGATCCACGCTCGTCCACTGAGAGTAGATCTCCCTCATGGAGTCTTCAGGAACTTTAGAGAAAACGGCTTTGGCTGCGTCGTGTTTCTGCAGCGCTGGAAGACACACAGTTCAATTAAAGCACCCGGTACCGGGGCCGGAGACGACTTTTCCATTTTCTATTTCTTTTAACTTCTGTTGACTTCAGATCTGTCAGTTGAACCTGGACACGTTTGGTATCAGTAGAAACCTAAGATCTATTTTTACATTCAGACAGTTCAAATGACAGGCWGTTGAATCAGAAAGTAAACAAACTTTACAAAATGGCCTCATTGCAAATCTGTAAACCAGGGGTGCCCAACCTTTTTTGAACCAAGAGCTACTTTTGAAGTCGGCAGTTTGCCGAGA